GTGGCCGAAGTGCAGGACCCAGCACTTGGCCTTGTTGAATCTCATACAAGATGGGCCTCGGCCCATGGATCCAGCCTGTCCAGGTCCCTCTGCAGAGCCTTCCTACCCTCGAGCAGATCAACACTCCCGCCCAACTTGGTGTCATCTGCAAACTTACTGAGGGTGCACTCGATCCCCTCATCCAGATCATCGATAAAGATATTGAACAAGACCGGCCCCAAAACTGAGCCCTGGGGAACACCGCTTGTGACCGGCCGCCAACTTATGTGTTATTGTTAGAGCCAACAGCTGTTTTCTGGAAGAGTTAGGAATGTTTAAGGCTCATGTTTTCATTACGATTTGACTTATGCAATAACATTCTCCTGTATTATATTCCCATTTAACTGAGTATTGTGTTTTTCTCCATTTCCTCTTCTAATCTGTTGACTGCCTGCACTGGTAGTTCTGAGTAGTGACTAAGTACCTGCCATGCTTCACCACAGAACTGGCCGCACCACAGTAAATGAGGTACAATGTTTCCTGTTGGCATAGAGACAGGGAGTTTAGAGGGCAGAAAGCAGTCCTTCTACAGAGCTGTTTAACAACACTTGGCTTTGTAGGAGCTAAAACACAGGTTAAGACCGTAAAAAGTCCGAAGTCTTCAGTTTTTAATGTTTATATAGTCCTGGACATGGCTATTATGTAGTAAGGAGAACATACTTTCCAGCTAATTTATTTGCAATAGTTTGTGGCAAGTGCACTTAAAATGAAATGAGTGGGATTGCCACAATCTTATAAACCAAAGATGTCTTTTTAATAGTTTAGTTTTGTAGCAAGATACAACTTTGTGCTACTTAATCAGGTTGGGAATTTAAGGCAAACCTGAATTTGTTGATTACTCCTAAAATAACTAATACTCTAACACTTTCTACACAGAAAATACATTTCTATCAATAAACTATGACTTCTGGTCTATTACTGACTGGAATAAATACAGATTTTAACAAATACTACACTCTCCTAAGAGAAAAATAATCTGTTCACAAGATCCCTAAAATAAACAGATAATAGTGCATCAGCTTCCTAGTAGTTAAAGATTCTAAGTCACAGAAATTAAGAAATTAATTACAGTAATTAAACTGTAATAGATTAAAAAAAATTTATATTGTCATCTTCCATTGTTTGAATTTTCAGCAACAAATGTTAGCAGCTTTGCTTTCAGGATTTAATAAAAGAAATAAAAGTACATTTAAAATCAACTAATTTTAGTATGAAAGGGTAGATGAGATGAAAAAATCATTGGGAAAAAAACATGGTCTTAAAAAAGTCTCTAAAGCTTTAAGACTATTAGATTTATTATGGGCAGTGTAATGTACCATCAGCTGACTCGCTGGTATCTACTATGTCTGTTCTAGCTATTCACTGCACAGAGGGAGAGAACTTGGAAACATCTTTCTTCATGAAAGTGAGTAAAAGGTCAGAATGGCGACAGATTAACACATAAATTTGGTCACAAAGCATGACAAAGTGTGAAGGGAGAGCAGCAATAAGGTACTAAGGCCTAAGCTGTAGGAAGAACTAAAGGCTTGAACACTGGTATGATTTTTCTTCTCTTTTACATTGATGTACTCCACTGTTTTCCATTTAATCTCTCATGATTTAAGTTCATTCATACAGCCTAATTTGAAGTGAATGATTTTTCCATAAAAAACAATGTAAGATAAACGTTGTAGACTGAAAAAGGACACATAAGAGAAAGGCTGAACCTCTACAGCATTTTACAAGCATTCACCAAAGGCTGAGCAAGAGCTTGGCCAATTTTTAATTACTTTAAGTACTGAAAGTTTCCAACACAAACAAGAATGAGAGGAGCTGAGATGGACTGTTTTATCAATCACAGCTCACTGGGACACATCAGATAAAATCTATGGCCAGGAACCTGCACACCATCCTCTGTCTGGTGGCATCTTTGGGCTGGTTCCTGCTGGAATTCTTTTTTTTCTTTTTCTGACTGATTAGTCAGAAATTGCTTATTAACATTGCTTACTAAAGAAACTGCTTGATGTTTTCAGCTTTCATTTCAGCCATAAATGCCGCCTTCATGTCCTCATGAGGACTCACAGATGTCTTCTTGTCTGTAGGTTTTGCAAACCAGCCTGTACAACACACCAAAATACAACAGTAAAAACACCAGAGCAATATTCCCGTGACACACACCATTCCTTTTGGTATCACCATGAGATTTTCACTGTATATTTTACAACTGTTTTTATCTCAGCACAGACAAGTAGCCACAACCTAATGCAGGCTGCACAGTGATGGCAGCGGCAGTCCCCCACACAGTAAGAGAACTTATTTACCTAGGTAGATACTGAGGGGAATAAAATACTATATTCTATTTATTCATCACAGTTATTTTACTGTAGATGCTAAGGAGACTTATCTATCTTTCTTTAGCACCAGAACATCATGCTGTCAGTCATGTCAGTCGTATCAGTCACCTGTAATAAAGCAGGAGCTTTACAAAAATGCACAGAAACATAGACACCCTTTGTAAGGAACAGATGTCTTGTAACTCCTTTCTCACTCTCTGGTCTGTCTGGCTCTTATTCTGGAATCCTTCCCTTACTGTGCAGGCATTACCAGAGTAAGTGATAAGAAGAACACCTGGCTAGAAAGAAAGTGTTTCTGACATCTGTTTTTATTTTTAAGTCAGAGACTGGACATGTTCAGTGCAAATGCAGCAGCAGTTAAATGGGTAGTGCAAATCAGAGATGGCAAGGCACTGGTCACTGGCACAGCGAAAGGCTCTTTCCACATGAGAGAGTAATTCAGTCAGGGCTTCCCAATGGCACGAACCCCAAGTACATACCAAAAGGCATTTCAAAATACAAGTGGCTCTTTTGTTTTCCTTCCTTCCCCAAATTGATCCTGATCCATCTGCGAACCAAAGGGGAGGTAGGGAGGGGAAATCTCTTGTGGCAGCAACCCACAGGCTTGCCTACTTGGGTCGAGGGGGAGGTGGGACATTAAATGAAAGACTATTTCATCCCTCCTGTCAGCGCTCCTCCAGCCTCGTATTTATCTTCCCACCTTTCTGGTTTGGGCTGGTGAGGTTTTAGTGCAGCAGGGTCGAGGGGCCTGTCTTCCTCCTTACAAACCCAGCGCCTCTTCTCTTGCCCATAGCATAACTACTTTATTTAAAAGGAAATCGAAAAACAAGTTAAAAAGACACTCTCAACACAAGACCCCTTCTCCTGCGGAGGAGCTAGAAATCCCAGGAGGGGTCGGTGACTGCACCGGCCTGCCCTGAGGGGTAGGAAGGGAGGGAGGGAGGTGTCGGCCGGGCCGAGCACGGACTCACCTCGGGCACCCCTGGCAAAAAGCCCCGGGCGCTGGAAACCCGCCCGCTCCTTCCCGCCACCCGGCCCTTCCTCGGCCCGGCTCCGAGCCACCTACCCCGGCTGGAAG